CTAGTAAATTTTAAATGTTTTGATCGATACAGTTCGCCATCACCACTTTATACGTACTATTAAAATGATACATAAGTATTTAACAATCTTTGTTACATGCTGGTAATCTGGAAACCAGAATTAAACTGTCAAACACCAAGCGGTCACCGGTGACCGCAACCTATTGTTCTATAATTGTGTCTGCAAAACCGGTACTCGACGAGTTAATACTGCTATCTAAATGATGGACAGGTAAGTGTGCAACAATTCTCATACTTGGCAAGCGACTTGGGAATCGCAGTTAGGTCATCGAAAATTTAAAGGATTGCTCAGCTCGCAGTCGTTTGTTTTGGGACCTCTTTCTGATACGTGTGAGTAAGATTATCGCCGGTTCAATCCTCCCCCCATCATAACTGATTTTCAAAGGTCTTTTTTTTTCTTTTTTTTTAAGGGGGGAAAATCATCGAATGACTGCTCCCGCCTGGGTGAGGCGGAAGGGAGTGTCAGACTCTTACTGACTAAAAACCACCCCGTTCCTTCTCCTGCACGTCGAGCCGGAGCCCCGGTTACCCGTTAGGTTCTCCGCGACTCCGAATTGGCATCGGCCCTATTGGGCCCCATCTGTGGTGGTCTGATGGCTCTTTGAGGCGCGCGCGGAACGCGACGCGCCGTACGCTCGGGTCTGTTTCTGGTCGGACGGGGAGCCACTCATGCTCGCCGTCCGCAGTTTTCAAAGGTCTAACCTCCAAAATTCCAACATACTCCATATACCTCCTCTGGTATTGCGAGCGTCCATGGGCAGTGCCTTAACGCGGTGCCGATTGCATTTGCGATGTGGCGACTTATGCCATAAATCAATATTTCATACATACATACATACCTCGCGCCTGTCTCCCAGGGGGTAGGCAGAGACTATGAAACGCCAATTGCTACGATTCTTACTCGCTTCATCAACAGTCAAAAATATTTCATTTCAAGTTTAACAATAATGTCCTTGAATATTTAAAACTCATAGTTACAAAGACTTATCGAAGGTACTTCCCAGACAAACTCAACATCAAAGTTATCTACTAAGCCTTATAACTTATAAGCCAGTTAAATACGGATTATAGGAATAAAGAATTTCACCCAATACGTGTTATCAGTAGTAATTAAAAATTTATCAAGGAATTTTACTTATACCTACTTATTAATGGGTAATAAGATACAATTTAATAAGTTATGTAGATATTTTGTATCTACGAGGAAGAGTTCACTTGCGAATTATTTTTATGCGTTTGAAGCTTGTACTACAAAAATAAAAAGAAACTTTTTTTTTTAAAAGAGATGATGGAACTTCTTGCTCGTTCTTCTCCATTCGAAACTACATTATGGAGTGTGCACCTAGCTTCCCTGACAAACAGACTTACGTTCAAAACCTTCATGTATTTTTGGACCTTTTCTGAGAGTTGGAACCAGGTACTTTTAGTCTGTATCGGTCTGGCACGCCCTCCTACTTCTCTAGGACGAGTGGAGTTAGTTGAAGATATTCTAAAAAAAGACGAATACGGAAACTTTTCCATTATCATCACAATTGCCTCTGATTCTTTATTCTAGCAATATCTTGACTTTGAATTTGTATTAATACAGATTAAAAATTTGCAAGTCATTTTAGTAAAGTTTTCTCTCCAGAGATAGTAAGACGTTCTTATGTTTAGGGTTAGTTATTGTTAATTTAGGATATTACTGTGCATAATTTCCAATTTTACAATTCGTAGATATTAGCATACTGCTGAAAATTATTATATAAAATGCTATTTAACCGACTTCTAAAATAGAAGGAGATTCTCAGTTTTACCTGTGTGTATGTATGTATGTTTGTGCCCGAATACCACGCCATTGGCTAAACCAATTTAGATGCGGTTTTCAGAAAAGTGTGCGTTACACTTCGGATAAGGTTTTAGTATACCTACTTATAAACCGACCGAGGGTTGAAGTCGGTTTTTTAAAATGTAGTTTATTACAAGGATTATTATTACAATGAAAACTACAGCAAAATTGAGGAAAAGTAAGTGTGTTTTTCCTCGCTTGCATTAATAATATGCACTTATCATTTCGTGGAAATATTAATTACGAGAACCTATGTACACACGGCTACACATCGAGCTTTACATAACCAGTATAAACTGAACGTTAAATGTGCGGAAAGATGATGCGACGCGATACCAGGGTAAACTGGATTTGTATAGATTGATGTGTGGTCGTATGTATTCACAATCGATTATTCCACAAGCATTCCATTACCTATTTATTCAAAAGTATGTCACCTCTTCAAAGACTATATTTTACTTATAATAATAGCAACGAGACGTCATAACATATACAGGGCATTCCGAACTGATTTTCATGACAAAAGTACCAGGGAGTCATGATTGTGAGACAGTGTGTTGAAATTAGTTTTACTCAGTAAAGGATAAAGGAGTCGTGAGTTCGGTTATGAAGTAATCGGAATTACGACTGACTTGGAATTGTATACTGCGTATTAGCAATGACATATTGTAATGTGCCATTCTGGTGTAGCTACTTAGCTCAGTCAATACGTAGTTAATCAATTGTTACAAGCACAAACTAGGTACTTAAACATAACATAACATAACATAACATCACGCCTTTTATGCCCGAAGGGGTAAGCAGAGATGCAAATTATAGCACTGTACAATGTAACACCCATTTTTCACTGTATATGTTATGAGTCCCATGTAAGAGGAGGTGAGCCTATTGCCATATATTGGGCACAATTCCAGACTCCGTGCTACGACTGAGAATATTTAATAACCCTGTAATACTTTGCCCGACCCGGAAATCGAACCCGAGACCCCTTGCTCGGCAGTCGTACTTACGACCACTCGGCCAACGAGGCAGTAGGTACTTAAACTATACTAATATACGACTAAAAACTAAATTATTTACAACTTAAAAATAATTAAGAGAAAACCATACATACCACTTAGATAATAAATATATTTTAGCGCCCCCATTTGTTCACCTATTTAAAAACCACTATAACTTCAAATTAAATAAATTAATTATTTTGACCTTTATATGTAGGTATATTATGTTAGGTATATTAACGGAGATTCTAAACGAAAGTTTTACTATAAACCCGCATCTTGAAACCTGAGCGCAGTAGGTAACATTTTTATTTCTTGGTCTCTTATCGCCCCCCTTGAGACCTGCAGCGCCCACAAGGGGGCGTTATCGCCCACTTTGGGAAAGACTGGCATAGACCTACTCTTAGGCATTTAACTGTACCCGAGCGTACGGCGCGTCGCGTTCCGCGCGCGCCTCAAAGAGCCATCAGACCACCACAGATGGGGCCCAATACGGCTGATGCCGATTCGGAGTCGCGGAGAACCTAACGGGTAACCGGGGCTCTGACTCGACGTGCAAAGAGAAGGAACGGGGTGGTTTTTAGTCAGTAAGAGTCTGACACTCCCTTCCGCCTCACCCAGGCTCGAGCAGTCATTCGATGATTTTCCCACCTTAAAAAAAAAAGGCATTTAACTGTCATGCGGCCGAGTTACAATACTGTATGATAACATTACCGTGACTTGGACCCCACCGCCGACAGGTTTCATATTATTACTTATAAGAATTTTTATCCAATAAACTGACTTTAGTCATCTTCATTGTAAGTAACACTTTACACTGAAAATGATAAAATAACCAAATAAAAACTGCGTTTATAAAAAAGTCAAAACTAAAACGCAAAAAACAACTATTTTTATTATTAGTACTAATAGGTTACCCACCCACTGATAAGTTAGAAGTCGGCGCCATAAGTTCCATACAAAATTATACATTAAAAAACTGCGGTTAAAAAAACCGACTTCAAAAACTAAAGATAAACAAAAAGTAAAAACTAAAAAGGAAAAAAAATAACTATTATTGGTCATACGTACTTATCTTATGGCTTACACATCCACTGATAGGTAAGAAGTCGGTGCCACAAACCATTAACAATGTAAATTGTAAAACCGTTGGTCGGTTGGTTGTGCTGTACAACATCAACATGAGTTCGTTTCCCGCACAGAGCAGCTGTTTGAGCAATGAGCAGTCCATACATCATTTAAAAGTAATTCTAATTTAAAAATTACAGTTGATGAATTACAGATGGGTTGGCGATTGGCCAAAACACAAGTTTGTAGAGTGCTTTTTTTTTAAAACTTTTCCCCACACTAGGATTTTCTCCTGTGTCGTGGGTGCGTTTACAAACATACAAGTTCACATACACAATGACACCCAGACCCGAAACAACATTTTGTGGATCACACAAAGTGTCCCGTGCGGGAATCGAACCCGCGACACGTTGCACGGCAGCCGGTTGCCCAGCCACCGCACCAACCGTGCAGGCATTCGTTTTGTTAATTGAATAAATGTTGTTTATTTAACAATTTAAGAGACTAGATTGTGGCACATAAAATGTCTATCAAGTTATTTGGAATAATTTATCTCAATTCTTTAATAGGCCCTAACCGTATTTCTGCTGAGATGAGAGCGCTAGTGGGAACCTCTCGTTATTCTTCTAATAGGGAATTAGCTAGTGTCACACCATTGGACATTTAATATTTGACAGCTGCTGTGATTGGACGAAAAACGCTTCCTACATTTGCGTCATCTGGCAATAATAAAAATGTGAGCCCCCCATTGGTAGGCTATATTATACTACTTTAGTAAATAACTTAAGCTAATACAATAGTTCTGGATAATATAATAATATTTTTTTTAATCTTTTCGTGACGAAAACTGATTTTTTGATCGTTTATTTAACTTTCTACTTGTTTGTCTTTATTACAAGTCTAAAATGCATTACTGTAGTTAAAGTTGTGAAAATGATTGAAAGATTTAACTGATTATTATTATTATTGAGAAAAATGCCCATGTCCCGTGGAAAATATAAACCAATCTATCTAATATCACGCAAAACATAAAGTATATTTTTTATTAAAAACCTTCTAATTTCTATATTTTGTTGATTCCAGGTCTTCACAAATGCAACGCCAGAACATTGGTGCGCTCCACCACCAGAACTGGACCACCTAGGATTACCAGATCAACTCCTTCGTTCCCTAACAGTACCAGGAGAGCAGGGCACGTACGAGTCATGCACAGCATACGATATAGACCGCAAGGAGTTACGTGAAGCGCTGAGGGATTTCATCGTTGAAAGGTAACTTTGATTTATGATTCCCTGGTTGGTGACGTGACCTAGTGGATAGTTTGCCAAAATTATATTTTTAACACTAGCTGTGCCCGCGACTTCGTTCGCGTAGAATAGTGACTATGAGCAGCGTTTTTTTTTTAAATATATACTTATTTTTATTTTA